GACCCTCGGATGACCCCGCGGTCTGCGGCGTGACCTCCGGTGGACGTCACGCGCCACCACCCCGCGGATGATTGCGCAGGAGGGGGAAAAAATCCCACAAAGCGACACGCGTCATGCGCTTGGAGCTCAACGACGACAAGTTGGAATGAGGACAGCCGGGGACCGTGTTCACGTGGCATGGGGACCGTGTTCACGTGGTACGGGGACCGTGTTCACGTGGTACGGGGACCGTGTTCACGTGGCACGGGGACCGTGTTCACGTGGCACGGGGACCGTGTTCACGTGGCACGGGGACCGTGTTCACGTGGCACGGGGATCCGTGTTCACGTGGCACGGGGACCGTGTTCACGTGGCACGGGGACCGTGTTCACGTGGCACGGGGACCGTGTTCACGTGGCACGGGATCCGTGTTCACGTGGTACGGGGACCGTGTTCACGTGGCACGGGGACCGTGTTCACGTGGCACGGGGACCGTGTTCACGTGGCACGGGGATCCGTGTTCACGTGGCACGGGGACCGTGTTCACGTGGCACGGGGACCGTGTTCACGTGGCACGGGGACCGTGTTCACGTGGCACGGGGACCGTGTTCACGTGGCACGGGGACCGTGTTCACGTGGCACGAGGACCGTGTTCACGTGGCACGGGATCCGTGTTCACGTGGCACGGGGACCGTGTTCACGTGGCACGGGGACCGTGTTCACGTGGCACGGAGACCGTGTTCACGTGGCACGGGGACCGTGTTCACGTGGCACGGGGACCGTGTTCACGTGGCACGGGGACCGTGTTCACGTGGCACGGAGACCGTGTTCACGTGGCACGGGGACCGTGTTCACGTGGCACGGGATCCGTGTTCACGTGGCACGGGGACCGTGTTCACGTGGCACGGGGACCGTGTTCACGTGGCACGGGGATCCGTGTTCACGTGGCACGGGGACCGTGTTCACGTGGCACGGGGACCGTGTTCACGTGGCACGGGGACCGTGTTCACGTGGCACGGGGATCCGTGTTCACGTGGCACGGGGACCGTGTTCACGTGGCACGGGGACCGTGTTCACGTGGCACGGGGACCGTGTTCACGTGGCACGGGGATCCGTGTTCACGTGGCACGGGGACCGTGTTCACGTGGCACGGGGACCGTGTTCACGTGGCACGGGGACCGTGTTCACGCGGTACGGGGACCGTGTTCACGTGGCACAGTTCGGATGGGCAGCGTTGCTGCGTTCGCTCTGTCTGTGTCTGCGACGCGGGGTCACGATAACTCGTTCCGCTGATCCGATGTAAACGAAACTTCACTCCTATCGAGCTGTGTCGAGAACCCCTCAATAATGATCGGGGACAGCAGAGCTTTGTGGGGGGATTCGGTGGCGGCTTCTCAGCGCTCCTCATCTGCGGATCTTCCTCCTGGCGCCTCGGAGTCGTGCCCTCTCGCTCCGTCTCTCTCTGTGAGAGCGAGCGAGCGAGCGGCGGTGCTTCACCAGATGACATTATTATGGGTAGGCACTTGCCCTGGAGGCAACCGGCCACATTGATCGATCGGTTTCCCCAAAAACGTGCGGGTCACAGCCGCTACTTGAGCCCCATCGGTGCATCGCGGCGTTTACAGACGCCCTGTTCCCAGCGCGCAAGGCCTCAGTGCTACCGTTACCGTGGCTAATGATATTACAGCGCATACTTCATAATATTACTTCCGAGAACAGAGGCATGTTGGGGAAACAACGCGGTTACATAATCAAACAAAAACGCGTTTCGGAATCCCTGCATAGGCACGATTGTTCTTGCTTGTCTAGACTTCGTCGTCCCTCTGTGTCCGTGGAGCGAGGGCGATAAGCACTCCGTGACTCACAACGCGGGCACAGATCGCAGGATGGGGCACCACGCCATCACTTTGGTGTTCGGCTCGGCCCACGCTGATCCGCTTCAATCTCTTCCGCCACAGCTGGCGAGGGCTCCTCGTCCACACGCCGGTCTGCTGCTCTCTCGCCCATTGTCTAGAGGCTTCCTTTCGCCTGCGCGCTCTCTGCAATGTCAAGCCTAACGATCGTGCCGTGGGGTGATGTTGTTGAGGACATTCCAAAACAACAAAAACCAACAGCTGGCAAGCGGACAGCAACAAACAGCACGATGACAGACAGTTGCAATCAAGAGCGAGATTCCATCGTGGCAACAGCTGTTGATGTCCGCTCCCCCATCGCACCCCCATTGCCCCCCCCCTTCCCTCCCCCAACGCCCCCCTCCCATCTCCCCTCCCCCATCGCCCGGCGCTCTCTCTCCTCCTGTTAGACCCCCAGCTTGATGCACAGGAGACGCGCGACCCAATTCTTGCCACGGATATTAAAGTTGTAACAGCCTCAAGAATTGAAAAAGGTTATTTATTATACGAGGATGATGATGATCATGGGGATTCTAAAGTGAGGCATTGCGAGGGGAGAAGCGGGCAGAGAAGTGTTGTGGCATGCAATGTGGTGAGTGGGTGGGTGGGTGCATTGTTGTGATCTGCAGTGTGGTGAGTGGGTGAGTGGGTGGCTGGGTGGGTTGTTGTGACATGCAGTGTGGTGAGTGGATGGGTGAGTGGGTGGCTGGGTTGTTGTGACATGCAGTGTGGTGAGTGAGTGGGTGAGTGAGTGGGCGGGTGAGTACACGTATGTCTGTACAGTATGTTGAACTTCTTTCGCACCGTACGTAGCCAACCGTGCAAATCGGAGGTGCAGGGGAATGACAACAAACTAACACACGACGAAGTGAGTTGTGACCTGCAGTTGCAGTGTGGTGGTTGGATGAGACGAAACTGTTGCTCATTATCACCATCATCATCATCATCAGCCATGGCTAATCCACTGCTAGATGAGGTCCTACCCCCAAGGAGCCGCCACATCTCACGATCCTGCGATGTCATGAATACCCCCAGGATCTGCTCACGAACTGCTTTAATCGCTCCATCTCCCTCGGTAGACGGCCTATCGGATGCGTTCCATTCGTTCCACGTGGCTATCAAACGTGTTGAGACAGCGTGTCGGGTTTCCAGCAATAATAATGTTACACCTAACATGTTCATCCTCTGTCAATCCACTGCTGGATGAAGGCCTTCTCACGCCGTGTCAGTCATCCGGGTTATTTGACCATACTTCAGCGCGCTGGTTGTGAAGGCGGAGAGCACAGAAGACTACTGCACTGCCCCATGCTACTCACAACGCAACCTCTCACATCTCTTAACACGATCGTCCATACTTCACCACACTGGTCAGCGCAGGTTGATAAAGTGCGGGGGACGGCGTGGGGGGGGGAATACCCAAGCCCAGTTCAGATATTACCGATATCAGCCATGGCCAGGGTTCCTCGTACAGTGCGCTAACCACTGCGCCACCGCTCCCTCCCCCACCCCACGCAGAGTTCACGCGGTTTATGGGAATCGTTCACGTGGAACCGAGCTGGAGATCGACCCAGGCCCCCGCCTGGAGTCACGGAGAACCGCGGGGGACGTGGCACAAAGATGTTGGGCACAGGCGTCCAGCCAAGGAGAAATTAGTGGAAAGATCTGCCGACTATCGGCTCGCTTCCTCCAATAATCCCGCGTGTGCCGCTGGACGGAAGGTGATGGGGGAGTAGCGTGATGACGTCATCGGTATCATCAGCCACGTCACGCTGGGCACGGCTTGTCGGGGGGTTCCCGCCTGTGAGAGTGGACCGAGGAATTGGACCACGAGAAAAACAGAGTGCAGATTTAACCATACTTCACCACACTGGTCAGTGCAGATGGGTGTGATTTAACCATACTTCACCACACTGGTCAGTGCAGATGGGTGTGAATTAACCATACTTCACCACACTGGTCAGTGCAGATGGGTGTGAATTAACCATACTTCACTACACTGGTCAGTGCAGATGGGTGTGATTTAACCATACTTCACCACACTGGTCAGTGCAGATGGGTGTGATTTAACCATACTTCACCACACTGGTCAGTGCAGATGGGTGTGATTTAACCATACTTCACCACACTGGTCAGTGCAGATGGGTGTGAATTAACCATACTTCACCACACTGGTCAGTGCAGATGGGTGTGAATTAACCATACTTCACCACACTCGTCAGTGCAGATGGGTGTGATTTAACCATACTTCACCACACTGGTCAGTGCAGATGGGTGTGATTTAACCATACTTCACCACACTGGTCAGTGCAGATGGGTGTGATTTAACCATACTTCACCAGACTGGTCAGTGCAGATGGGTGTGATTTAACCATACTTCACCACACTGGTCAGTGCAGATGGGTGTGATTTAACCATACTTCACCACACTGGTCAGTGCAGATGGGTGTGATTTAACCATACTTCACCACACTGGTCAATGCAGATGGGTGTGATTTAACCATACTTCACCACACTGGTCAGTGCAGATGGGTGTGATTTAACCATACTTCACCACACTGGTCAGTGCAGATGGGTGTGGTTTAACCATACTTCACCACACTGGTCAGTGCAGATGGGTGTGATTTAACCATACTTCACCACACTAGTCAGTGCAGATGGGTGTGATTTAGCCATACTTCACCACACTGGTCAGTGCAGATGGGTGTGATTTAACCATACTTCACCACACTGGTCAGTACAGATGGGTGTGATTTAACCATACTTCACCACACTGGTCAGTGCAGATGGGTGTGATTTAACCATACTTCACCAGATTGGTCAGTGCAGATGGGTGTGATTTAACCATACTTCACCACACTGGTCAGTGCAGATGGGTGTGATTCAACCATACTTCACCGGACTGGTCAGTGCAGATGTGTCCGCTCTGTAGAAGGGCCGTTGCCCGACACGTCTGCCTTCTATAAATATGTTGCTACAAGGTTGGTGCCATTGAGTTGGATTTGGTTATTTTCGTAGGAGCGGGCTCTTGGCCATCAAAGAGATAGTTAGTTTAGGAGAAAAACGACTTTTACTCCCTCGGGCAGTGCTGATTGAGATCTCTGCCCCGAGACTGTGAGAGAGACAAATATAGACACAGAGATGATCGTCTTTATTTATAACCGGTGATGAACCGGCCGGAACCCATCGATTGCCTTGGCGATTTCCCCCCATTGTTAGTGGTGCAGACATCGTTACGTTTTTTTTATATTACCAAGGATCACAGAAAATTGAGGAACATTTTTCCCTCCAAAGAATTGTTTGGCACGATGTCCGACGCTTCGCTCCACGTGCGAATACAGCTACCTCGTCAGGAACTGATTATGAGCAACTTGTCCGAACCGAGGAAGCTCCCGGCACGTGCAGCGAAACGTCGGATGTCGTGGCAAACAACACACGACACGATTCTAAAATGCAAAGGAAGAGCTACAGGCACCGCCGCCACACATCCGGCACAGCACAAAAGGGCGACGTTGGCCCACATCTCCCGAAGTGCCCGTGATCTCTTCAGACCACTGTCTACATGACGCGCATCATCTGGTGACGCTGCTGCTGCGTTGGCAGTGGCGCATTAGAATAATCAACAACTCGCCACACTTGTCCACAACGCTGGCCTAAAATACAATTATATTTGTATAGCATCGGCGACGTTTCGGGAAATGGCTCTTCTGCGTGATGTGCAATGAAGAAGGGAAATCGCCCAAAATCTCGCGGATCATATTCATAGAACAAGTTGCTATAGGCTGATACCGGGCTAGATTGTGGGGCAATGTCTAGCACAACAACAACATCTACTGTTGTACTGTACTATTCTCTCACGTCTAGACGCACCTTGTACTCTGGTGGTAGCGCGCCTTACACCGATAATCCTTACTGCAGACACAGCCTTAGCAGCAGCGTTCCGGAGGATATTGAGTCATTGCACGGCACACGCGCACACACGTGCACGCGTACACGTGTGCGTATAGACACGCTCGTGTGTGTGCGCGCACGCGTCACGCAGACCGCTGTTACGAAAGAGCCGCGCGGAGGAGCTCGGTTGCGGGTTGGGAAACCCGGGCTCGCGGGAAACCACGGGGCGCGAGGCCGGGGTAAATGCGCAGCTGCTGCTGCGTTGGTGGTGGTGGCCGTGGTGTCGAATTGTGAAACATTTGGAAGACGTCCACGCAGCGAGAGAGAGAGAGGGAACCCTTCACGCGGAGCACGGAGCGGTCCTGCGGCTCGCTCGCTCGATCAATCAATTCCCTTGTGCGGACGCAGCTGAGAGCCACTTGATGAAATCGCCCGTCTCTTGTGAAAGTTTAATAATGATAATGGCCATGATAATAATAATGATGATGCTGCTGCTGCTCTGGATTTAAAGCCGAGGGTTAAGGTCAGGAAAAGCGGAGAATCCGGGGAAACCCTTGAAGTGTAGAGGAGTTCTATTTTACGTTCGAATATTTGAACCGGTCCTGGGTCTCCCATAGGTCGACTCAGTATTAAATGAATACCTGGGGCGGTGTGTAAACATTGCCACAGGGGAGGCAAAGGCGGCCGGGCGTGGTGCTGGCCACCCCACTTTTTAGGTTCTGGGCTAACAGCACTTGTCCCAGTGATGGGTTCAAGGCTACACGGGTGATCTTTGTCTGACGCGCGAGGAATCTCTCGGCCAAATTCACTGGAGTGAGGCCTGGCGTCTGCGCTCCCCCCACCCCACTCGCTCCGAGTTCACAGACCTGCGGCAGCGGGAGGAGACACTGCGAGCTCTGTCTGCCGAGTGCTCCTCTTGGCTGCGCGCAGGGCGAGGAGGCAGATCGCACCACGCGAGGCGGGAACAACCTGCAGCTGCGAGGTTTGGCGAGGGAAACATGCCAACCCCCCCTCCCCCCCGCTTCAGTGCCAGTTTCATAATCATTGTAGCACTGCCCCGTGTCGATCCCGCTGCTGGATGAAGGCCCACCCCATGCCCGTGTCGCTCACGGAGGTTGTTTAGCCATACTTCACCGTGTTGGTCACTCGCGCGGGCTGGCGATGGAGTCGGAGGGGGGGACACGCAGGACCGGTTCGGAGCATCACTCGTCGCTGATTACAGCCGTGGCCGCGAATTGAACTCCGACGTTCGGAATCACAGCGCGGTGCGCTCACCACCGCACCACGGCTCATTGCCGGTCGCGATGTTGTGCCAATGGCTGCGATTACGGTCGCGATTACAGCCACTGGCAGCGTGCGACGACTGCAATGGGGGCGCACAGTGAGCCCCATTGTCACCCAACTGCTGGACCCTTCGAACCTGCACGCGTAACAACACACACACACAACGCTCCTGCGTATAGCCTTAGCAGACTGAAGGGGCAAGTGCTGTTAGAGAGCAGCGCCTATGAAGGCCGACAGGGCACACGAAGGGAAGGGTCGCCAGCACCACGTCCGGCCGCTTTTATCTTCCGAGTGGCAATGTTTACACATCGTACCAAGTACTAATTTGAGGCCGAGTCGACTTAGGGGAGGCCCAGGACTCTTTCAGATATTCGTCACTGACGTTGGCCGTGAGCAGAAATCAAAATCGGATCGCTGGGTTCGTATCGCATTGTGCTAACCATTGCACCACCGCTCTCCAACATGCACCCACAAACACCCACGCGTGCAAACACACGTAGACACTTAAACTACGACACACACACACGTGTGCACCACCCGTGTACACACGGAGAGCACCACCCGTGTACACACGGAAAGTACACACAAAGGCACGCGCAAACTCGCACACGCGGTGGCCGCGTCGGTCAACCGTCCTCCGCTTTGTGTGCCTCGTGGACTTCGTCTGTCGCCTCAGTTGCCGTGGCCAGCGTGCAAAGGTTGCGCGCGTCTCGGCGTGAGGGCACTGCAGGCACGGGAGGTCGCCGGCTGGCGGCCTGTTGAGAGCGTCGCTAGGGGCACCTGCAGGGTCGTGTGTGGCCACAGCGACCGTGGCCACACACGACCCTGTAGGAGCTAACCACGTGGTGTGGCTACAGCGACCGTGGCCACACACGACCCTGTAGGAGCTAACCACGTGGTGTGGCCACAGCGACCGTGGTCACACACGACCCTGTAGGAGCTAACCACGTGGTGTGGCCACAGCGACCGTGGCCACACACGACCCTGTAGGAGCTAACCACGTGGTGTGGCCACAGCGACCGTGGTCACACACGACCCTGTAGGAGCTAACCACGTGGTGTGGCCACAGCGACCGTGGTCACACACGACCCTGTAGGAGCTAACCACGTGGTGTGGCTACAGCGACCGTGGTCACACACGACCCTGTAGGAGCTAACCACGTGGTGTGGCTACAGCGACCGTGGTCACACACGACCCTGTAGGAGCTAACCACGTGGTGTGGCTACAGCGACCGTGGTCACACACGACCCTGTAGGAGCTAACCACGTGGTGTGGCTACAGCGACCGTGGTGACACACGACCCTGTAGGAGCTAACCACGTGGTGTGGCCACAGCGACCGTGGTCACACACGACCCTGTAGGAGCTAACCACGTGGGGTGGCTACAGCGACCGTGGCCACACACGACCCTGCAGGAGCTAACCACGTGGTGTGGCTACAGCGACCGTGGCCACACACGACCCTGTAGGAGCTAACCACGTGGTGTGGCCACAGCGACCGTGGTCACTCACGACCCTGCAGGCGCCCCTCCTTTGCCTGCCATTCCCTTACCAGTCTCGTCCATCGGCCATCACGTCATGGAGTCATCTATTTACATTGCTGCTCTCTGTTTACGTGCCTGTGGTGTTACCCGCACCCTCCCTCCCCGCCTCTTTATCCATCACGGACACCGGCGCGGCCACGTGCGATGCGCGCTTTGCACATCAAGTCGATGGGTTCGGTGAACCGCTCCCGTGGGGGGTGTGGGTCGTGGGAGAGGGAGTGGGGCACAGGGGGAGGGCGGGAGGGTCCAGGCACCTGTCGCAGTGCCGAGCAACAGGAGCGAGACCCAACCTCGAACACGACCCGCGTCTCCCCGTGCGCGCGTTTCGCGCTGAATGGAGCTCATCAGCAGCACGCGGTGCCTCAGCAGAAGCAGCGTCAGCTCGGGCCAACACGCCCCGCCACGGGGTATCGATCAAAGTCATCGCCACCATCCCCAGCCCTTCCCCTTCATCAGTAGCACTTCACCATCACCACCACCATCAACGGTGTTGTGTTCGTTACGTACTGCGCGACCCATCCACGCGCTATTGTCCGCAGGCGCTGTCTGACGCACGCACAGCCATTCTCACAATAATACACATCGCCTATAGCCATACAGAGCTGTTAGCGAGCACCTATGAAGGCCGGAACGGTACACGAAGGGGTGGGTGGCCAGCACCACGCACGACCGCCTTTGTCTTCCCAGTAACGATGTTTACACGCCGTACCCGGCACTCCTTTGACGTCGAGTAGACCAACCACCACCTCCACCAATGTCGCCACCACGAATCACCGCCGCTCACCTTCGAGCGATGAATTTCTCCGTCGTCATCCTCGCCTCCCACGCCGAGGATCTTGCGCGTCTTGAGCCGACTCAGCAGATCCGTCTGGCTGTGCTTCTTCAGCAGCGGCCCGTGCGTCTTGGTCGCCATGGGCGCCGCGAGCCTCTCCGAGCCAGCGTCTCCACTCCGTGCCCTGCAGGAGCAGCGGGGGAGGGGGTCACATCCACCGCCTGACGAGAGCTGATGCTCAGCTCGAACAGTACGGAACGCCGAGTTATTTTGGAACCACACATCCATCTCGCGTGAGTTGTGAACTGCTTTATATTCCCATAAATTGGTTCATAATATAGGGTTAGTATGGATAGGCATACCGTATACTCTAGTGGTAGTGCCTTATAATTCCTACTCCAAGCCAGGCCACCTCCCCCTCTCACCTCCCCCCTCTCACCTCCCCCTCTCCCTTCTTACCTCCCCTCTCACCTCCCCCTCTCACCTCCCCCTTTCACCTCCCCCTCTCCCTTCTCACCTCCCCCTCTCCCCTCTCACCTCCCCCTCTCACATCCCCCTCTCCCATCTCACCTCCCCTCTCACCTCCCCTCTCACCTCCCCTCTCACCTCCCACCTCCCCTCTCACCTCCCCCTCTCACCTCCCCCTCTCCCCTCTCACCTCCCCCTCTCACATCCCCCTCTCACCTCCCCTCTCACCTCCCCTCTCACCTCCCCTCTCACCTCCCCTCTCACCTCCCCTCTCACCTCCCCTCTCACCTCCCCTCTCACCTCCCCTCTCACCTCCCCTCTCACCTCACCTCCCCCTCTCACCTCCCCCTCTCCCCTCTCACCTCCCCCTCTCACCTCCCCCTCTCACCTCCCCCTCTCACCTCCCCCTCTCACCTCCCCCTCTCACCTCCCCCTCTCACCTCCCCCTCTCACCTCCCCCTCTCACCTCCCCCTCTCCCCTCTCACCTCCCCCTCTCACCTCCCCCTCTCACATCCCCCTCTCCCCTCTCACCTCCCCCTCTCACCTCCCCTCTCACCTCCCCCCCTCACCTCCACCTCTCACCTCCCCCTCTCACCTCCCACCTCTCACCTCCCCTCTCACCTTCCCCTCTCACCTCTCACCTGCCCCTCTTTCGCGCTCTCTTCATCTATCACAGAGAGCGAGAGAGAGAGAGCTGGGGCTGTGATATGAAGTTTTCTCTCTCCGAGTATTTTTTTAAATATTTCCACTGGACAATCCCTTGAACAGCTCGTTCGCAAGGGTGGCCAGGGTGTCAAGTGACACGCACAGAGCAAACACACACAGACACACCAACAGGCTCGTAGACCTGCACAGCCACACACGTTTACACAACAACAATAACAAAGGCCTCCCGTACAGTCTGCATTCTGTTTGGGACAATTGCCGTTAGCGAGCACCAAATGAGGTCGAAACGACGCACAAGGGGGTGCTGTGGCCAGTACTGATCCAGCACTGATCCCGTACAGACCCAGCACTGATCCAGCACTGACCCAGCACTGATCCAGCACTGACCCAGCACTGTTCCAGCACTGATCCAGCACTGATCCAGCACTGACCCAGCACTGACCCAGCACTGACCCAGCACTCATCCAGCACTCATCCAGCACTCATCCAGCACTGATCCAGCACTGACCCAGCACTGACCCAGCACTGACCCAGCACTGATCCAGCACTGATCCAGCACTGTTCCAGCACTGATCCAGCACTGATCCAGCACTGATCCAGCACTGACCCAGCACTCATCCAGCACTGATCCAGCACTGACCCAGCACTGACCCAGCACTGACCCAGCACTGATCCAGCACTGATCCAGCACTGACCCAGCACTGATACAGCACTCATCCAGCACTCATCCAGCACTGATCCAGCACTGACCCAGCATTGACCCAGTACTGATCCATCACTGATCCCGTACAGACCCAGCACTGATCCAGCACAGTTTCAGCACTGACCCAGCACTGACCCAGCACTGATCCAGCACTGACCCAGCACTGATCCAGCACTGACCCAGCACTGACCCAGCACTGATCCAGCACTGACCCAGCATTGACCCAGCATTGACCCAGTACTGATCCAGCACTGATACAGCACTGACCCAGCACTGATACAGCACTGACCCAGCATTGACCCAGCACTGACCCAGCACTGATACAGCACTGTTCCAGCACTGACCCAGCACTTACGCAGCACTGATCCAGCACTGACCCAGCACTGACCCAGCACTGATCCAGCACTGATCTCGCAGAGCTCACGGCTCCAGTAAACTCCAGCAAAGTGGGACCCACCAAGGGCATCGCGCAGTGAATTGCAAATGCATCGCGCTCATTATGTATGCGTGCGTGTGTCCCTGTTTACACGTGCGTGTGTGTGCGTGCGTGTGTGCGTGCGTGTGTACCTGTTTACACGTGCGTGGGTGTATATGTACAGACGTCTGTGCGTACACGTACTGTGTATATACGTTCATGTGTGCATATACGGGACTTGTCCCAACAGTCTCGTTTGGGTAAGGCTATACAGGGATCTTTGTCTTTGTATGCGGGGGTGTGTGCGTACACGTGTGTGCGTGCACGTGTATAAACGTGTGTGTATGGACACGCATGAACATGCGTACGTGCTCCCTTTGTGCATGTCTTTGTTTTTGTATAGCCTATGTGTGTACACGTATGTGTATACGCATGCATGGACACGTGTGTGCATGCATGTGTGTACACGTGTGTGCATGCATGTGTGTACACGTGTGTGTATACGCATGCGTGGACACGTGTGTGCATGCATGGACACGTGTGTGCATGCGCATGTGTGTACACGTGTGTGTGTGTATACGCATGCGTGGACACGTGTGTGCATGCGTGGACACGTGTGTGCATGCGTGGACACGTGTGTGCATGCGTGGACACGTGTCTGCATGCATGGACACGTGTGTGCATGCGCATGTGTGTACACGTGTGTGTATACGCACGTGTGTACACGTGTGTGTATACGCATGCGTGGACACGTGTGTGCATGCATGTGTGTACACGTGTGTGTATACGCATGCGTGGACACGTGTGTGCATGCATGTGTGTACACGTGTGTGTATACGCATGTGTATACACGTGTGTGCATGTGGATATCATCTCGGCACCTCGCTGGATAAAGACGCGTCGCGTCTCCCGCGGCCTCGTCTCCCGCGCGCGGTCCCAGGGTTCGCGAATTCCTGGATGCCAGCCGGGAGTCGCGGGGCCCAGGCTCCCCCTGCAAGAGCGAGTGGCCACAGGGGCGCCCTGCGCAACCGTGAGGCCAACGGAGCTCCCTGGAGAACGCAGTGCCCACGGAGCGCCCTGCAGCACGAAAGGGAGAGAGACCACGGAGCGCCCTGCAGCACGAGAGAGAGGGAGACCACGGACGCTCCCTGCGCTGCCGCTTGACCAGGAAGCACCCTGCGCACGCGAGTGGCCACGAAGCGCCCTGCGCAAGATAATTCGTCGAGGGAGGGAGCGCCCCGCACGACAGCGCTGGTGCGGCAGGAGAGTAAAAGCAAGCGGTCGACTACCAGGCTGAGACGACGCGAGTAGCTCCCCCTTCTTCCCCCGCGACTGGCTGTGCCCCCCTCCGAACGCTCCCTCTCGCTACTCCCTCCCTCGCTTCCTGCGCTCGGCGCGTGGGAGTCTTTGTTGTGCCGCGGGTGACGTTGGTCTGCGCGCGGGCGGGCGGGCGGGAGGGCGAGGAGGCCAGAGTCGACAGGAGGGGGGGGGGGGCGCGTGGTTTGGTGAGAGTGTTGGGAGCTGAGGGCGGGGGGTGTGGCAGTGGTGGTGTCGCGGTGAGCGCGACCCCACCACTCCCTCGTGGTCAACAACAACGGCGGTGGTGGCGATTCTCTGAACTGCCATTGGGCCTCTCTTAGGTAAACTCAGTCTCAAATGAGTACATGGTACGATGTGTAAATATCGCCATTGGGGAGACAAAGGCGGCCGGGCGTGGTGCTGGCAACCCACCTCCTCGTGTGCCGTGCCGGCCTTTATAGATTCTCGCTAATAGCACTTGCCCCAACAGTTTGTCCAAGGCTACACGGGGAACCTTTGTCGTTGGAAGGGAGTGGTGGCATCTGTGGGTTTTTGAGCGCAGGGGACGGGGTCGCAGGCGCGTGGTGACGAGCGGAGCGCAGCGCAGGGTGTGACGTGCTGGGTGTCAGCTAGGGGAGGAGGTTCGTGGTGCGCGGTGTGGTGGTGTACAGGAGACGAGGGTGCAGGGAGTGCAAGTCGCGGTGTGCACGGGCCTGGGTTGGGACGCGCAGGAGCAGGAGACGGGGTTCGGGGAGTGGAATGGGGGGTGGGGTTCGGAATGTGGGAGTGCGGTTTTGGAGGGGGGGGGGGGGTGGCCGTGAGGTTCCGGCTGTCAGTGCCGGGTGGGTAGGTGGGGGTCGTGGCCACTGAGTGTGGCAGGCGGCACCGGGGCAGAGTGCAGAGCTGGGCAGCGTCGGGTGATGTCGAGTGCAGCGATTCCGGTGGCATTTCGTTTCGTGTGTTTTAAGTTTGTTGTCCTTCTCCCGCACCTCCGAGTATCACGGTTGGCTACGTACGGTGCGAAAGAAGTCCAACGTGAATACAATTGCCGCGATTCAGTGGTTTCTATTCGGCTCAACAGTACATTGTTTATTTAACATTGTGTTTAATGTAGCGGCCTCGAGTGGCTGGATGTGTCACGGTGACCCATTAAAATACAACGTGTCGTCATAGCAGGCACTGTCTATCCACTGCTGGATGAACGCATGCCTACCCCGTCGCCACCCCCCCCTCCCCCCACGGTCCAATGCTGCCGTCACCAATCTCCACTGCTGCACTAGAACCGATCCCGTTGCTCCGTTTCCACGGTGGCGTGCGGCTCTCCGCGCTTCTGTGCGCCCTTTGCAGCAGTAGCAGCAGCAACTGCCGCTCAATGCTCTCCGTCAGTTTCCGTGTCTCTGATCGGTGCCGCAGCTGGGAATGCGCGCTGATTAAACACCTCGACGCACGCGGGACGCTCCTCCTCGTTACCACGGCCCACCTCCCCCCCCCCCCCCCCCCCACGGCGCTCGCAATCTCCTCTTTGTTTTATCACTCCTCTCCCGCTTTGATAAAACAAAGAGGCCTACAATGCAAAGCACGTCGGGACTCTTCCCTCGCGATTCTTAAGATTAACAATCGTGAAGCTTCGCCATCGATATTTATCGACTAATCCAGACATGGGCAAAGTACGGTCCCAAGGCCGTACACGGCCCGTTGGGCTTTTTAATCCGGCCCGCCTAACTTGTCCAAATATTATTATTAAATTAAATTTTACTTTTCTCCTGTAATGCCCCCATTTCCCCATTAGATGGCGCACATTGACCGGGAGTGTGGTGTATAGGGCTCGAAAGGGCACATGATCTCGCAATGCATTGCGGGCTGTCAGCGCCATTTTCAGGCTTTGTTTACATTGCTGAGTTAGATACGGTGCACCCTTCACTTTTTCGCTTTGCCCTGTGAGCCCTTCTGTAAAATGAGCGGATCAAGGAAACGAAAAGTGGACAATGAGTGCCGAGTGTTTAACACGGAGTGGACAACAAAATACTTTTTCACTTAAGTCCAATCGAAGGCTGTATGCCTGATATGCCGAGAATCTGTCGCAGTTTTCAAGGAGTACAACATCAGCCGTCACTTTGCTACGAAGCATGCTAACTACGCTAGCAAGCAGTCAACGCAAGAACGGGCGGCTACGGCTCAGAGGTTGGCGGCTAATTTACAGACTCAGCAACATTTTTTTTCACCGACAAACTGCGATTCAAGAGTCAACTACCAAGGCAAGTTTTTTTGTGGCATTCGGAATAGCAAAGGCTAGCAAGCCTTTCTCCCAAGGCGAGTTTGTAAAAGAATGCATGGTACAGACAGCAGACATCTAGTGTCCGGAGATCAAAAGCAAATTTGAAAAGTTTATCACGCAGGACTGTGACTCGCCGTGTGGAACTGATTGATGAAAATATAGCCAGCCAATTAAACAAAAAGTCTGATTCCTTTGAGTTATATTCACTAGCACTGGATGAAAGTATGCACGTAAAAGACACTGCTCAGCTCCTCATTTTTATCCGAGGCATTGGCAGTTTTGCGATAAGAGGAGTTTTGACCATGGAGTCCCTGAAAGGAACAACGCGGGGAGAGGACTTGTATAACCAGGTGTCTGCTGTCATCGAAAGAATGAAGCTACCTTGGAGTAAACTTGTCAATGTCACAGCGGATGGATCGCCAAATTTAACTGGAAAAAATGTTGGGCTGCTGAAAAGAATCCAGAATAAAGTGAAAGAGGAAAACCCTGACCAGGATCTTATTTTTCTTCACTGCATCATCCATCAGGAATCCCTGTGTAAGTCTCTATTGCAGCTTAATCATGTCATGAATCCAGCCGTAAAACTTGTTAACTTTATACGAGCAAGGGGACTTCAGCACCATCAGCTTTACGTTCCTGGAGGAAACTGATGCGGATCATCAGGACTTGCTGTACCACTCTCGTGTCCGCTGGTTAAGTTTGGGGACAGTGTTACAACGAGTGTGGGAGCTGAAAGAGGACATCGCATTTTTGGAGTTGATGGGGAAATCTGACGAATTCCCTGAGCTAAGCGACAAGAACTGGCTTAGTGACTTTGCGTTTGCTGTGGGCATATTTTTACACATGAATGAGCTGAATGTGAAACTGCAGGGGAAAGATCAGTTTGTTCACGACATGTACAAACATGTGAAAGCCTTCAAATCCAAGCTCACTTTGTTCTCCAGACAAATTGCAAACAAATCTTTCGCTCATTTCCCCACTCTTGCCATGCAGGAAGAGGCACCGCGAAACGCAAAAAAATACAGCAAATCACTTGAGGACCTGCACGTAGAATTCTGCTTTAGGCTCTCTGATTTCGAAAACATTGAACAGTCACTTCAGCTGGTGTCCTGTCCCCTGTCACAAGACTCTGAAGCAGCACCACAGGAGCTGCAGTTGGAACTGATAGAGCTTCAGTCTGACTCCGTCCTAAAGGAGAAGTTAAACTCTGTTAAACTGGATGACTTTTCTACTTCACTTAACAGAGCCACGTTTCCAAACCTCTGGAGGACTGCACAGAAGATGCTGACTTTGTTTGGCTCGACTTATGTGTGTGAGCAGACATTCAGCGTCATGAACGCCAACAAAGCCCGTCACAGATCAAAGTTAACGGATCAGCACCTCAGATATATCCTGAGAATTGCCACAACCAAAATAACTTCAGACTTGGATGCACTGGCAAAAATGGGAGATCAACAACACTGTTCCCACTGAAACTGAAAGTGATGATGTGTTGCTGCAGCGAGGTTGGAGCCAAATCTCCGACACACAGCCTGCGTGGCTGCTCTAACCTGTTAATGTAGACGATAAAGAAGTTCAAGGGAGGTCATTGGTTTTGGCGCAGGCCTCACATGTTTTCATGATGTTTGATCAGTCACGTTACGACATGTTTTTGTATTGTTCATGTTCGTGCAATCTGTTAAATTGCCTTGCAAATAAATGCTTTGCTACCTGTTAAAGGTCAAATCCTTTCATGTAATGATTTTTACATGTCATATTAGTTCACACAAACACTCCATCCATCTGTTTCCTGGCCCGGCCCCTCTGTCAAATTTTAGAACCCATTGTGGCCCGCGAGTCAAAAAATTTGCCCACCCCTGGACTAATCCATGCGTGACTGTGTTCCAAGTTACTGCGATGTTTGGTGCGTGATGCAGGGTGCTGGGTGCGTGATGCAGGGTGCCGGGTGCGTGATGCAGGGTGCCGGGTGCGTGATGCAGGGTGTTGGGTGCGTGATGCAGGGTGCCTGGTGCGTGATGCTGGGTGCGTGATGCAGGGTGCCTGGTGCGTGATGCTGGGTGCGTGATGCAGGGTGCGTGATGCAGGGTGCTAGGTGCGTGATGCAGGGTGCTGGGTGCTTGATGCAGGGTGCTGGGTGCGTGATGCAGGGTGCCTGGTGCGTGATACAGGGTGCCTGGTGCGTGATGCAGGGTGCCTGGTGCGTGATGCAGGGTGCCTGGTGCGTGATGCAGGGCTCTGGGTGCGTGATACAGGGTGCTGGGTGCGTGATGCAGGGTGCTGGGTGCGTGATGCAGGGTGCTGGGTGCGTGATGCAGGGTGCCTGGTACGTGATGCAGGGTGCTGGGTGCGTGATGCAGGGTGCTGGGTGCGTGATGCAGGGTGCTGGGTGCGTGATGCAGGGTTCTGGGTGCGTGATGCAGGGTGCCTGGTACGTGATGCAGGGTGCCTGGTGCGTGATGCAGGGCTCTGGGTGCGTGATGCTGGGTGCTGGGTGCGTGATGCTGGGTGCGTGATGCTGGGTGCCTGGTGCGTGATACAGGGTGCTGGATGCGTGATACAGGGTGCTGGGTGCGTGATGCAGGGTGCGTGATGCAGGGTGCTGGGTCCGTGGTGCAGGGTGCCTGGTGCGTGATACAGGGTGCTGGGTGCGTGATGCAGGGTGCCTGGTGCGTGATACAGGGTGCTGGGTGCGTGATGCAGGGTGCTGGGTCCGTGGTGCAGGGTGCCTGGTGCGTGATACAGGGTGCTGGGTGCGTGATGCAGGGTGCTGGGTCCGTGATGCAGGGTGCCTGGTGCGTGATGCAGGGTGCGTGATACAGGGTGCCTGGTGCGTGATGCAGGGTGCCTGGTGCAGGGTGCGTGATGCAGGGTGCTGGGTGCGTGATGCAAGGTGCAGGGTGCGTGATGCAGGGTGCGAGGTGCGTGATGCAGGGTGCGAGGTGCGTGATGCAAGACGCAGAGCCTCTCGCCAGCTGTTAATGGAGATCCCGAACCGCTGATGAGGCCAACGCCGTCTCCCCGTGAAGGTGATTATTATTCTAGGTGATGATTATTTTCGGTCACCGTCCCCAATTAACGCGGCTCTTTACCGAGCGCGCTGCCGCGATAATTCGGCTAATTGGTAGAGACTCGGCAAGGAGCCCCCCCCCCCCCCCCGCGACGCGTGTCTCGCCTAGCCAAGGCGTGACGGTAAATGCCAGGTGGCTTGGTCCATTGGCAAGGGCGTTAATTTTCTACCACGTGGACCGACAGATCGGGGTGTGTCGTGGCTTTCCACGACTTACCCCGGGTACGCGTTTCGGGGTATCTTATCATCACAATAATAATCATAATCACAATAATAATCATAATTCACAGGATTTTGTCAATTCACTGCTGGCTGCCACCGATCCACCCTTACCAGCAATGCTCCGTTCAAATACATATGAAGTCGTTACATGCTGCACGCGCCTGATGATTGTTACACGCGCCCCACACGTGACGTGGGGAGCGCTGATTTAAAGACGTGGGGCACATTCGTGCACACAAGCACTACACCCAGCTATGATTATAACCCAAACCAACTCGCCAACCAGATACGCGTCCTGATTCTACCCCGAACCTCCCCCAAGTATCCAACCAGCCACGAGTGCTAGCTCTAATCCTCACAAGCTAGCCAACCAGCTAGTGGTAGTGACTCTGCCCCTAACTCTCACCAAGTCTCAGAATCTTTATTTAGACTGGAAGAATCCGATGAGCCCTGAAGCTCTTTTTCACAAATGTTTAGCATGAGCGGGTCAGTAAGCTGCAACAGCAAACAATACATCAAACGATAGGAGTGAAAAAGTGGAGAAAATGGTGAAGTCACTAAATAAAAATCAATCAATTCATTATATAAGTCCGACGTATCAAGATTGGGAAAAGGCAGCAAAACCAACAACATAGTCCGAGACCACGCCAAGATGCCACCACACAGCAGTAGTCCCTCAATACAATGGCACATTGAACTATCGACACAGAGGTAATGATCAAAGTTAAAATTACATTTGCAAGTATCCAACCACCCAACAGCATTAGGTCCACACATTCACCGCAGCCCCGCCCGGAATCCATCCCTGGGACCTTTGCCAGGTCTTCCGATTCGCCGCCTCCTCCATCCTCCAATCGCGTTGTCGCTTTTTTGGGGTCGGGCAGCCATGCGGGGCCTCGCCGCCGTGCGTCAGACCTCGGAGAGGCAGAAGGAGAAGTCGCCGAGACACATCGCTGCGTCTCAGTGGGAGAGACACTTCATTTGCCACTTCTGAACTTAAAAGTCGGGCACAGTAGCGGCTCGTGATATGTCCACTAGGTGGGGCTGTTGTGAGTGACCTCTGAAAATATGGTGGTATAATTAAGAAGCACCTCGTCATGTCATTGGCCTTCTCGTGAAAGTGATACACAACTGTCTTATCTACCAACGGTGAGGCATTCATAAACAATACGAAACATAACAACAAAGCACTCTAATGCTGTCCCCATGACCCTCAAGTCCACACGACACAACCCCTTGGACACTGCCAAAAGCCGAGAGCGTGGAGGCCGTGAGCTGCTGCTCGATTTGCAGTGCCACCACGCGTTGTGACACCTGAATGGGTCTCCAACGGCGTGGCTACAAAGCGAAGCTGAAACGCAACAGACGAAGGGAAATCTCCCCGAGGCACAAATCAGACTGTGGTGTTGCAGCAGCGCTTTCTAATACGAACAACTTAAAATGTTGTCTTCACTAGGTAATTCACGTTTAAAGAATCATTATATTTTCATGTTTTTAAACACAACAAAACTATTTATAGAAAAGTATTTATCATCTCCAGTCGCTTGGTGGGGCGGCGCCCCAACGCCCCAAGTGTGCGAACCGCGCCTGGTCGGGCACTCGGCGGCTTTGTGAAAGGAAAACAAACTTTAAAAATCCGAAAGAACCAGAGAGGATCAACATTAAAAATTAACGCCACCGCTAAGAGAAGCGCCGAGCACCCCAGACTCAGTGTTGTCGAGTTTCCCAGTCTCTACGCATGCAGTGGAACGCATTCGCCATATCGTTGCTGAGCAAACGCGCGGTTGTGCTGTGTGGGTTGTCCGATGGGGTTTGGCGTCACACCGTGTGTTGTCCGACACGATGTCCGACGTTTCACTCCCCGTACCGGATGCTTCGTCATTGCGCGTCTCGGTAACTGCAGGTTGAAAAATCTTGGGCCATGGTAAGCATGTGTGCCGTTCACAGGGTTATTTGAGGGCTCTTCATCGCGCTGGTCACTGTAGGTATGTCCGCTCTGCAGAAGGGCCGCTGTTCGAACGTCCACCTTCTATCAGGAGTCCTCCTACAAGGTGTTGTGAATGAAATGTGGCGAATAAAAATTTTCGTTACAAATGAGCTGACTTTCACTCACCAGTCGCGAAGGTGCGGGGCATAGACCACGGGGAGCATAGAAGTACAGTGCAGCGATGGGGTTTGCTGCACTGCCCCCTGCTGTCCACATCGCCCCGCGGTGTTGGCGAGTGTTTCACTCCGAGCCACGCAGGGCAGGAGCCGCGCTCCCGGTGGCTTTCAGTTTCCATCACCGCGCCCCACGGTGATTGGCGCGTACGGTCCGGCCCACACCGACGTCGCATCCAGCATCTGGCAGCACCCCTCGCCCCACCCCCCGCCCCAACAGAGTGGACGTGTGGGGACCCCTGCGTTCCTGGGGGGGGGGGGGGGTGTCCGACGGGGCTCATTGCCCCACGCGCCTCGGCCCTAACAAATGGGATTGACATTCATCCACGGCTGTAAGCAGCAAGGTGCTACTTGGAAATAGAGCTGTATCGATTGAAAACGTGTTTGTACTCGCGTTACCGTAGAAAAAAACTGGGTTTAAAAATAAAACGAGATCACAGCGTGATCAGTTATTGGGTGAAGATTCCGCGGTAAATGATTGCGCCTCTCCTCGTCTGGAGCAAACAACAGAGGATATAGAGACGAGAGCAAAGAGCTCAGACGCGGAGCAGAGTCTCAGCGACATAGCGCAGGGCACAGATCTCATATCTTAGGGCACAGGTCTCATATCAGTGTACAGATCTGAGGGCTTGGATATCAGATCACAGTTCGTAGAGCACGTCTCAAATCTCAGAGCACATATCTCAAAGTAGAGATCTCACATCTCCACAGAGCGCAGATATCACATTGCAGAGGGATCTCAGATCACACGTCGTAAAATCTCAGGCGACAGAACCAAGATCCCAGAACCTCGGATGTCAGCGCGTGACGCACGGAGTGCAGAAGGTGCACGCGTCTGTGTTGGCGTTCAGATTGCGACCCCATGACCGCGACGAGGAATGAAAGCCGCATGCGTGTTTGTGTATTTGTGAGTGTTTGTGTATTTTCTTCTGCCTTAGTGTGTGCACGCGCGCGTGGTCGCACACGCATGGCACGATCCCCCGGGGTGGTTGAAAGACGGATTGAACGCGAATAGCCGCTACTCGCTGCGGGAAACAGATAATGTCTCGTGCAACACGTACGTATTGATATAAGTGGTGCGCAAACCCAAGCGTGCACATACTCCCACGCTCGCGTTCACTTACAGCGGTGCATTTAATTTAATTTTGATACATAATACGACAAAGATTCCCCTCCTCTCGATGATTCAATTTTAACCGGTCGACAAACCCAGAAAATGTTTCCTCACCCCGGCACATCACATCCACAAATACATCTCGATATGGCTGTGGTTACTACCCGTCGCGTGTTCCTCCCGTTCTAATGGCACGCATGCGACTCACGTGCCAAGAAAGTTGTCCGGTTGCAGACCGCTGCAGCACAGGGACAGCTGCCACTGTAGTCTCCTTGGCTAGACTGTAGAAGGACATAGAAGAATGGTTGAGGGGAGATGCGATGGAAGTTACTTTGAGGTGCTGGGTGATTTAAGCGTCACTATAAAAATGCCACGACTCATCTCTTCCCTTATGACGTTGCACGACACGTGGGGATAGTAGAATATGACTCACGCAAGATTGACATTTAGGATTTGACACCTCCCCATGTGGGATTAGAGCGCCCCCCCCCCCAATTCCGAGATTTGTCATTAAGAGCCACGACTCCATTGGGAAGGGAGGGGGAGGAATTATATTATCAGACACTTCATTACGAGCCCATTCATCTTCATCATTCAGAATCCCATCTGCGCGCGGGGCTCCATCCCAGAGCCTTAATTAACCGCGAGGCTGGTGGCAGGGGAATCGACGGCTCACGGGGGTGTGAGGGAGGAAGGGACTGCAGGGGTCTGCGTGGGACGTTCAGGAATCAAAGCAGCGGTCAAAGTCGAGACTAAATAAGATTGTCCGTCACTTATCCAGGAAAACCTCAAGTGTCCTTTTTCTAGGAGGACCTTGCCACTTGCCACATTGGGATTCACGGCCAATTCCAATTATTATTGAGCGTTTGACTTCTTGTGGGAGGAAACCTGAGAATCCGGAGAAAACCCGCCATGCATAAACACGAGGGGGTGACACTCAGCACTGCCATCTCCTAACAACATCCAGCAGCTCCACGCCTACAACAGCTGGCAAGCAGCGGTGGTGGTATCCATTGCAAGTACTAACGCGCCTCAATCCTGCTTAGCCTTCGAGGTCTGACTGCATGGAGAGCAGTCACCACGTGGTGGCGAGGTGGTGACTCGATGAAACAACAATACTTGCACACTTAGAACCCAGAAGCTCGACTCCGCGTTGATGACGACTCCACCCCGGAGTTGCCTCGCTGCCCGCGTCGTGGGAATTCTCCGCGGCGATTGCTGCTGGTACAGAAGCTGCGTCTCGCATCGATTTCCTTTCGTTTTTCTGAAACTTCATGTTGAATCAGTGTCTGAACCGCGGCCTTGGGGGCCTTGGGGAGCCGCGGGGAGGGACGGAGAGTCGAGACGAGGCGCAGGGAGCCAAGGGGAGCTCTGGGGAGACACGATGCGACGCAGAACGTTACAGAAAGCAACCGAGAGACAGGTGGCCGAGAATGATGAGAACCAGGGAGCCATGAGGAGCCAGGGGGTCGGCATCATCAGGTGCAGCGTAAGCTACAGGTAGTGAGTTACAGGGAGCTACTGGGCGTATGGGAGCCCTCTGGGAGACATGAAGAGGCGCAGGGAGCCGTAAGAAATAGGGGGGAGGGGGGGGGTCAGAGGCAAAGCCATGTAGAGGCACGGCGAAGGAAAGGACGCCTTAACGAGGGGGAGGCAGGGGACTGCTGGGGGGCAGCTGGGACATGTGGGGAGGCACAGACAGACACTTCGAGTGAAGATGAGGAGCAGGAGACTTCGGGAGAAGCTGCAAGTCACTGGAAGGTGCAGAGAGCCACGGACGGAGAAAGTGAACTGCGGGGAGAGAGACACGCCGAGACACGAAGAGACACAGCGAGATACGGGGAGACACAGCGAGACACGGGGAGACACACCGAGACACGGAAAGAGACACGGCGAGACACGGAGAGAGACAGCGAGACACGGGGAGATACACCGAGACATGGGAGACACACCGAGACACGGAAAGAGACACAGCGAGATACGGGGAGACACAGCGAGACACGGGGAGACACACCGAGACACGGAAAGAGACACAGCGAGATACGGGGAGACACAGCGAGACACGGGGAGACACACCGAGACACGGAAAGAGACACAGCAAGACACGGATACACACCGAGACACGGGGAGACACACCGAGACACGGAGAGATACACCGAGATATACATCGAGACACCGAGAGATACACCGAGACACACACCGAGACACGGGGAGATACACCGAGACACACCGAGACACGGGGAGACACACCGAGACACGGAGAGATACACCGAGACACGGAGAGATACACCGAGACACGGGGAGGCAACGTGGGGCTACCGGCAGGCGACAGTTGTGTGTCCGCGAAGTGATCAAAACGCGCACGGTGAAAGGAACCCGGGGATCGCGCCGGCATCAAAGCGGTCGCTCCAAATGAGAGGCGTCGCTTTACGCGATTGACGCATTCATTACGAGCGCGGCTTTGAACTTAATAACAACAATAATCAGATACGGGCGGATTGATGAAGCGGCCGAGTCAGCAATGCCGCTCCGTGTTCGGGGCCCCGCCAATGATCGCATCTCGTCCCGGATTCTCGCGCAGAGAAGATGAATGCTTTTCATCATTTATGATGTTCTGGGGGGGGGGGGGGGGGGGGGGGTGGTTGGTGGCGGGTCGCTGAGGACATCGCGGAACTGTGAGCGAGAGCGGGGGAGGGTGGGCTGCTGTGTTTCGGGCGAATGGAACCACCGTGGCGGCGTCTCGCAGCCCCGCGGCCCTTGCCAGGGTCCCGGGTTCTCGTCCCTGTGGGGGCTACCGTCCCCTGCCATCACTGAATTGTCGGGGCCGTTGCCCACCGACTCCCCCGTTCCATTCATACCGCTACCCCCCGGCTGCTCTGTCAGGTCCAGACTACGGACTCCTAATGTCTCGCCCCCCTGTACCTCTGCCTGGGATGTCGACCGCGTTTGCGTAGCTTAATTAGCGGCTCGTACGCTTTGCGCTTGCGATGCGCTACCCTGTTCAACGGCGGCGTGTCGCGGTGAGCGCGCTCGCAAAGTAAAACCCCGTCCTGCACGTGAATAAACAGGCGCGGCGCGCCCCCGTGGGATTCCCTCCCACCCACGCTCCACGCGCTTAAGCAAAAACAAACACGCCGCGATTACATTGCTCCGATTTAACTGGCTGTTTACACAGCTGCGTATTCGCGCACGCCAGGCGCTTAATTCGCTATTAGACAATCGCGCGAGTGCGCGCCCGCCACCCCGTCACACAGGCGCGCGAGCGCAAAGCGCTACTGTAGGCTGTTGCTACTGTAGGCTGTTGCTACTGTAGGCTATTGCTACTGTAGGCTGTTGCGCAGGTACGCGAGCGCTGGGCACCGCCGAAGATATTCGTGTAGGTACGCGCGCGCTGAACAATACTGTAAACGATCGTACAGGTACGGACACTAAGCACGTTCTACTCCCTTATTCGCTGCAAACAGCCGCGTATGCGCGCGAACACAAAACACTCTGTACACACTCGTACCGGTATGCGAACACCAAACACTCCGTCTCCCTCCTCGCACTCGCAGTGACCACGACACAGCTTTATCCTATTAGTGGTTTTATTCCCCGCGAGTATCGAACTAGACTGTGCGTGTCAGTACGGACCAGCAGGACAGGTCTAACCTATCTCGCTACTGCCTGATACTTAATCGACCTGTCTGCTCTCTATTTTCTCTCCGAATTTCGTCCCTTTGTCTTACCTCTCTCGTACTTACGGTCCGACCTCGCAGCGATGGAGGTCGCGGATAGACGATGCTGTAAACAGAATCTGGCTGTTCTCTGCCCCGTCTCACGGACGTGCGAGTAACAGTCAGGTGACGGCTCCGCGATCCCTCCCTCCTGTTGATCTCCAGTCAAATAAAAATGGCCCCGTGCTTCCCCAAAGCGTCCCTTTTTATGCTCCTTTCAAAGCCCTCGCACCGCCCATACGCGGTGCATCATGGGTAGGGCCGTTAATCCGCGGTGCATCATGGGTAGGGCCGTTAATCCGCGGTGCATCATGGGTAGGGCCGTTAATCCGCGGTGCATCATGGGTAGAGAGGCTTAACCCGCGCTGCCCCGCTCCCCACCTGTCTGCTGGTCCGTGTGTGTCTTGGGCATCTCCTCACTGCGGTTCTCAGTGAGTTCGCCGTGGTCATTTAATTCTAAGTTAAGCCACGGCGCCGCAGTGCCATTTGGCCTGGGGGGGGGGGGGGGGGGGGTGCCTGCCAATCCCCTGACCCTGAGAAACCGTGGAGCACCCTCACGAGGGGGCCTCTCGGGTAAAAAACTCAGGGCAGGTGCCCCCCCCCCTCCCCATGAGGCCCTACTTGAGTGTGTGTGTGTTTAGGTGGGGGGGGGGGGGCGGGGGAAGTGCTGTGATGGGAGCCGGGTGGCTTCTCGGTCGCAGCAGCACAGCGACGGCCCCGGTTTCGACGGAGCGGCTTCGCTGTTGTGGCACCACATCCCCTCGTTACGGGGAGGCATCGCGCGCCTATCGCGCCGCGAGAGACGAGCGAGGCGGACACCGCGCAATCTGGGAGCGCGCAGGTGATAGTGGCGGGGAGCGGTGGTGACTCGACGTTCGGCGCACTGCGCTAAGAACTTGGCCACCTGAGTTCGATTCCCAGCCACGGCTAACACCAGTGGCGAGTGATGTGTGAACCGGTCCTAGGCGCCCCCTCACCCCTTACCCCATTCCAGCCCTCTCCCCCACTGATCAAACATACAGGCTTGACGTTCTATTGACAAATGCCCCTCACAATTTCGCACTGACGGGTGTTCTGGGTAATAACCTTAGTGATCATTCCTTCATTTTTGGGGTGAGATCATCAGCCAGACCCAAAGCCCCCCCTAAAATTGTTGAGAAGCACTCTTTGAGGCACTTCAGCACTCAGGCATTTACAAATGATGTGCTTCACTCGGATATTGATAAGGTCTGTGATATCCCCAACCTGACTACGGCTTGGGAGACTTTCAGGTACACGTTTCTCAAAATTCTTAACAAACATGTTCCGTTGGTTAGATTTAAAACTAAAGGCAACCGCCCACCATGGTATGATCCTTTGATTACAAAGCTCATGAAAACTAGGGACAAGGCTTGGGCATGTGCTCAGAAAAGTAATTTGGTAAATGACTGGCTAGAATACAGGATTATAAGGAATAGATGCGTCAAAAAAAATACGGCATGCAAAAAATGCCTACTTTTCCTCCACTCTCCTGGAATCACATGGAAATGCCAGGATTTTTTGGAAAACAATCAAATCTATCGAAAAGGCATCCAAAACAGACAATCTGCCCGTTGAGCTTAACCGAAATGGGGAATATTTTTCAGATCCCAAAAAAATAGTTGGCAATTTTAACCTTCATTTTTCTGAAGCTGGTAATCTTTTTGATAATGTACTGGGAGTCACCCCTGCTCATGCAAATTCCTACACCCCTGTCCAAACATTAAACGAATTTAGTTTCCAACCAATCCACGAAAGTAATGTTCTGAAATAACTGTCCTACCTCAAAGGGTCCTCCTCTACCAGAGTAGATAGTTTTCCCGTCTTTGCTCTACTAACTGTTGGTCACCTAATATACAAACCTATAGCCCATATTTTCAACTTGTCCATCAAAGAAGCATCAGTTCCTCTAGAATGGAAACATTCCTATGTCCGTCCACTTCACAAAGGGGGCCCTAAAGATGATCCCAATAACTACCGACCTATCTCAATTTTGTCCCCATTGATGAAAATTTTAGAAAAATTATTGAACTACCAAATTAGCAGTTTCCTGTCCACCAACAATCTACTACATCTAAAAGAATCTGGGTTCCAAAAAAAATACAGCACCACATCTGCTGCATTAGACTCTTTGAATCAAATTTACAATAGCCTTGATAATAAGCAGTACTGTGCCTGTCTTTTCCTTGACCTGTCCAAAGTTTTTGATACAGTAGACCACAACACCCTGCTTAGTAAACTAAGTTGCCTCGGTTTTTCCGAAAACACAGTACAATGTTTAAAAAATTACCTCTTTTCTCGCACCCAAACTGTATTCACAGATGGTTGGAGGTCAAACAGTGTTAAGATAACAAAAGGGGTTCCACAGGGTTCCATCCTCGGCCCCCTCTTGTTTTCTCTTTATGTCAATGACTTGGGCACTGACCTGGATCATCCCAGGGTAAATCTTTTTGCAGACGACACGATACTGATTACTGCCGGCCGCTCTCCAGATGACGTGATTGCTAAGCTCCAGGGCGATTTCAACAAACTACAACATCAGCTAGTTTCTCTTACACTAGTCCTGAATACCTCCAAAACCAAGGTGCTATGCTTCTCACCGGGACTAAAGCAGGAAGTTATTTTTCCACAATTACATTCCTTGAATAATTATCAAATAGAGCAAGTCAAGATCTATAAGTATCTTGGGGTCATCCTGGATTCAAAACTGAATTTTGAAGATCACATTGATTATATTGATAAAAAGACAAAAATAAAAATTGGTTTTATGTATCGACACAAGCACTGCTTCCCCCCAATGTTCCGTTTGAAAATGATAAAAGCTACCATACTGCCTCTACTTGACTACTGTGACATCGTGTATAAATCAGCCCCAAATACTGTACTGAAGAAGCTTGATTTCAGTTTAACACGTAGGCTTTCGCGACCAATATTATTCATAATAAAGGTTTTTGGGTTAGATCGCGTTTATTTATAAATGTGTCGTAACCCTCCACCACCCGACACGGCCAATCAGCAAAAAAAGTGTCACGTTGACAAAAGACAAATAATTCACTACTTCAGCCCACCGGTGTGTTGAAGAGTTAATCCACATTTACAGTTTGAGTACGACGTTTCGCTGGTAAATACATCCAGCATCATCAAGCAATTCGCCAGAATGGTAAAGCCCTCGCTTGCTCCCGGTTTGTATATAGAGCAGCAGGGTGACGTCATCACTTAACTCATATCAGGTGCATTGATTAGAGGCGGAGGGGGGGTATTGTAATTATATAATCGATTAGTAATCAGTCATTGGTTATGATTAGTAATGAGTTGTAGATTAGTAATTCTTTAAATGTAATGTGTATTATTTAATGATACGCTTCCAGGCCGCACTAAGCCGGTAGCTGTCAGAGCGATTAAAGTTATTCTTGTTCCTCTCAATTTCAATGGATTCTCTAATTAGTCTTTGCCAGTAATAATTCGTTTTACACACCACTGCAACATTGTCAAAATCAATTGAGTGTCCTTGTTGACAAGCATGTTCTGCCACTGCCGACAGTTGTGTTTGAGATAATTTAATATTTCTCTGATGTTCTTTTAGTCTTACGCTGATGTTACGTCCCGTCTACCCAATGTAGCAGCTGCCACATGAACAATTAATCCGATATACACCTTCTGTTGATAGTTCAGGTAATGCATCTTTAGTGCAAGATACTAGTTTTTGAATTTTGTGTACTGTATGAAAGCTTGATTTCATCTATCACTCGGCCTTAAGATTTGCATTGAACTCCCCATATAGGACTCACCACTGTGATTTCTACATTGGGTCAAACTTAACATCTCTTAATGTTCGACGGCTTGTGCACCAGATCTTATTTATTCACGATGTACTTACAAAAAAATCCGCAGACTATCTACTGGATCTCCTCTCTGTTTCAAAGAACAAATTTGACCTCAGGTCTTCGCTCATTTACCAGCTTCACATTCCCTATTGCCATACAAAAACCGGAGGTAGGGCCTTTGCTATTGATGCCCCCAGGGTCTGGAATGCTATTGCCAATAAACTGGAACTTGAATCACTACCTATGAGATCTTCACTCAAAACTGCTCTAGAGGAGTTGTCCACCCCTAGCTGCCACTGCTATTCAGTGGCCTAAAATATGGCTCTAGGGTTTGGTGTTACATGTTATTTATGTATTTTATTGTTAAAAATTCGGTCCAGTCCCTATGATCACTGTTACATTGCATTCATGGCTTTTATTTTGGTGATTTCGAAAAGTTTTTTTTGTTTGGCCATGTTTTTGTTTATTGTAGTACGGAGTTAGACTGATGGCCTTAATCTTAGTTGTACTGTGGTGGTTGTTGTTGTTGTTTGACTTGCATCCCACTGGGATTTTTGCGCACAGCGTTGGTGTATGGTGCTACTTCAGGAATATTTTGATGTTTTTTTCCCTGGATTTTCTGTTTGCACAGTCACATAATCACTTTAAGATGTTTTCTTGTTCATGTTTTTGTTTGTTGCGGTTGCACCCGATTCAAGAACTGAATGGCTCACAGGGCTATACCAAATAAATGGAACTAAAATGAACACAACGTATACACACTATAAAAAACCAGACACAACGTATGCACACTCAAACATACACACACTCAAACATACAGACACACAACATATACAGGCACACAACATACACACACTCAAACATACAGACACACAACGTATACACACTCAAACATACAGACACACAACATATACACACTCAAACATACAGATACAACATACAGACACACAACGTACACACACTCAAACATACAGACACACCATACAGACACACAACGTACACACTCAAACATACAGACACACAACGTATACACACTCAAACATACAGACACACAACATATACGCACTCAAACATACGGACACACAACGTACACACACTCAAACATACAGACACACAACATATACACAATTCTAGATTTAAAGCTTTCGTGACTGCTAGGATCCATACTCTTTGGTTCTATTGGGTAAAGTCACGTAGGTAAAAAAATAAATA